TATATATATGTGTGTGTGTGTGTGTGTTTATATATGTATATATATTTATGTGTTTGTGTGTGTGTGTGTGTGTGTGTGTGTGTGTATATATATATATATATATATATATATATATATATATATACATACATAAATAAACACACACACACACATATGTATGAGTGTATATATATATCACATATATTTTTTTTCTCTCTCTAGGAGCACTTGTCTATACCGATTTTAGAATATTTAAAGAAGACCTATTATGCACCTTTTTACAATATGTAAAATACGTCTCTGATGTCCCTAGAGTGTGTAAGTGAAGTTTCAGCTTAAAATACCCCACAAATAATGATTTCTAACTCTTTGAAACTGCTCCTTTTAGGCTTTGATCCTAATTGTGCCATTAATAATGAAAAAGTGTCAATAAAAGGAAAGCTTACATTTACATTTTAATTTGAATTGTGTCACTATTATAGCGTGAACATTAATAACACGCTTTGTAAAAATTGTGTTTGCATTTTATTTTTCAGTTTGGCTTTGTATTTTAATATTGGCAGTCTTGACGTGGAAATGCAGTAAAAATGACATGTTAAATTGGCAACTTCATTTTAATTATCAATTTGACAGGGACGATGTGTTGTCAAAGTGAAAATGAAAATTAAATAATTTAATTTTGTTTTTAATTTTGGCAGATATTTTGCAAACAGTGTTTTAAAATGAAATTGTTTATCTGATTTTCATTTTCATTTCCAATGTTTATTTGATTTGTTTAAAATTGGCAGGATTTACCTTCCATATCTCAGTAGCCATATCTGTACAATATAAAGGTACTGCAAACATGTCACATTATAAGGAAAAAGAAATAAAAGAGAAGCAGCTGTCTGCCATTAGAGTAAGAGAAATTAGAGAAATCTGCCGCTCTGCTGACACATTTATAGCTCCACCCTCTTTTGAAAAGCCCAATCTCATTTGAACTTAAAGTGATAGTCACCAAAGCGGCACAATTTGGATCAAAGCCTGTAAAAGGGGCAGTTTCGTAAACTTTTAAAACATTATTTGTGTGGTATTTGGAGCTTAAACCTCACATACATACTCTGGGAACATCAGAGACGTATTTTACATCTTAGATCCCCTTTAAATCCTGCTGAGGTCACTTATGAACCGCTACACATCTTTCTTTTAACCGCTCTGTGTGCTTTACACTCCGTTTGAAGCGCTCAGGAATGAGACCCAAAATTAATTCATGGTTTTAACAAAGAGCATCAACTCTGACCACTAAGAACCGAGGCCTCCTGTCATCTCCAGCAGGATGACCACATCAAACAGAGACTGGAATCTCTGACTTCAGGCTTCGGTAATATGAGAGATGGAGGCTGTGGTTGCAGGATTATGGGCTGATGTGTGTTAGTGTTACACGGCATCCTGGAGCCACAGCAGTGTCACAGTATCCAAGCCTAAAAATACTGGTGCACCGCAACTTTTATTTTTGTAATAGTAGTAGTTTCACAATCTCCAGTGTTGTTTATGTTGTAGCTATATTTGTTCATACACCAACAGTTCAACTTTAATCTAATGTTTGGCTAAGATAATGCCAAAAACGGACAATATAATATGAGGATGATATATTTGTGAGAAGACTTGTCATTTGAGAAGACTTAAAGGGAGAGTTCACCAAAAGCTGAAAATTTCTGTCATCATTTATTCACCCTCAAGTGTTTCCAAACCTTTATAAGTTCTTTCTTCTGTTGAAGACACAAGAAAAAGATGTTTTAAAGAAAACTGGAAACCTGTAACCACTGACTTCAATACTATTTGTTTGTTCTACTATGAAAGTCAATAGCTACAGGTTTCAGCTTAAAATATCTTCTCGTGTTCAACAGAGGAAAGAAACTCAAAAAGGTTTGAAACCACTTTGAGGTTTGTGGCCCATTTCCACTGAGTGGTACGGTACACTACTGTACGGTATGGGGCGGGTCAGTTTATCTTTTTATAGTCATTTCCACTGTAAAAAGATACCAAAAAGCGAACCGTACAACTGTTTGGATACCCTTTCGAAAGGGTACCTATCACAACAAAAGGGTACCACATAGCGGAGCAAGACACGCAGCTGAACGCTATTGGTTTACAAAAAAAAGACATCACTAGCTTGTGCAGAAGCAGGAGAATGAAAACAAAGGAAGCACCATTTATAGATATACAGCAGAGACATTACACTGTAATATATATATATATATAATAACGAGCCATGGTCGACCAGGGGTCCGTTCTTCGTACCTCGCTTAAATGATCTAAGATGATTTGGCAGATCCTGGATCTTTTAATCTTGATAACTGATCTCTCGCTAATTTGGTTCTTCAAACAAGTTTGCGAATCAGATTAGAATGTCTAGATGAACTGATCTGAGATCGCTGCGTGTGTTGTGAAGGACCGATCTATCGATCCTCAAAATCATGATCAGCAGTGGAACGATTGGCTGACGGCACAGCAGCGTAATGACATCATCTGATTAATATTCAATTATCCATGTGAGCAAAATTACATCAAATTAGCAGTAAACGGCTTGTTTAATATGACACGCAAAAACCTTCCACATTTGTTGTGAGCTGCAGGCTTTACACTTTCATGTGTCAAGAGTATTCATCATGTATTTCAATGCAAATCAGTGTATTTAGTTCTACATTTAGAAAAGATTTTCTTTATTATAATAGCCGTTTTTTTTAATCGCTGTATGGAATAACTGGATGTTTTCAAAAGCATTTTGATATTGGTAAAGGCGTCTGCAACTTTTGTTAAGCATGATCACTGGCATATTAACTGTCAAAACATGTTTATGACTGCATTAATGTATTATTTCTTTTTTTAAAAAGTCACACATTTTGCATTTCTATTATACACAAATTGTACTAAAGCGATCTAAAAAGTTCATATCAATGTTTTCTCTTTGCACCAGCAGGTGGCAGTCTTTGTACTTTCATTTCGAGAGTGTGGATTGCATAAGTTTTATTAATATGTATAACTTTATTTTATTAATATTTATAACTTTATATATATATTTAAAATAGTTACTATTTTCCCAAGTGTATATAGCTACTATTGTAAGAAAATATCAGAATTCGGAACATACTTTATCTATTATCTTTGCTTGAACTGAGCCGATCTAATCCTGTTTATATAAACTGAACCTGCTCCCGATCAGGTTTAAGTTGCAGAACTGTTGCTATGACAACAACTCTCGGATCAGCTTTGAAGAACGAAACGATCCTGGATCGTGTCAAATCGTCAATATCCAAATCCAGCTAACTGAGTAATCCACGTACAAAGAACGGACCCCAGAGCTTAAACAAACGTTGCCGTCATCATGATGAACAGCCACAATACAAGAAGAAGAGCAGATTTTATCATGTGCCCCATAGTTTTTTACAAGGCCAATTAAAGCGTGAGCGTTTTCGCTTTCTCGCAATCGCTCGCCGCATGTCTATATTTGAAATAATGAACTTCTTGAGCTGATGATTATAACGTGCGCATGATTATTGAAGTGCTTCTGACATCCTTTCATAAATGGACAAACGCGAGAGTGAAGATAAAAAAAAAATCAAAGGAGAAGCCAGAAAAAACAAAGGAGCAAATGATTCTTTCAACAACCTAAAAGATGAACAAACTGCCATGTTTAACTATTATCATCATTTTTTGACTATTATGAACTTGAAATGATGGAATTACTTTCTAAGGTTACATGTGCTGCTGACACATACAGTATGAGAGATTTGTACTGACTTTGTTAGTACAAAATTGACTGTACAACATTGACTGTATATGTTGGGGATTGTTTATAAGGCCAAAAGTAAGGCCTAAATCTATGCTGTGTGTAGTTTTTCTGTAATTGGTTACATATCGGAAACTGTAAGGGTCTGTATGTGTTTATATATGTTCATTTATTTATTTATTGAATATAATTGCAGACGTTACAGTAGGCTATTTCGCACATCATTGATCTGCAGTTGTAATCAAATCATGTTCATAGAAAGGTTAGTAATGAACATTTATACACAAGTATTTATGTGTATAAAGCATCTGTTTAGTGAGAAGTGCTTCTTATATGATATGTGAACGACCCGTACAGCTTTACTGTAGACATTTCCTCCAGCAAAAATTACGTTTGCAACTTTCTATCATACACCAACCCGACCAAAAGGGTACCATTGGTATCCCTTTGGCACTGGAAAAGCAAGCCTGATAAAAGGTGACCCGTACCGTACCATACCGTACCACTCATTGCAAACAGGTCAATAGTAAATAGTGAATACAACTTCAATGCAGGACCAACAAAAGTTTGTCCAATCAAAATGCTGTCCTTCCTGCCTTTCAAGCTATATCAGCATACTATCATCTCAAAAACATTGCAGAAATTAGATGCTTTGTCTCCAATGAGGACTTATAGAAACTTGTTCATGCTTTTATCACCAGCAGCGTGGATTACTGTAATGGACTTCACACAAAAAAGACAGTCAGACAGTTGCTGCTGCCAGGATTCTGACCACAACCAGGAAATCAGAGCACATCACACCTGTCCTCAGGTCTTTATACTGGCTCTCAGTTACATTCAGAATAGATTTTAAAGTATTATTATTTGTCTATATATCACTAAATGTCCAAGGAGCTCAATACATGACAGATATGCTCACTGAATACAAACCTAACAGATCCCTCATATCATTACTGTGCATTTGCAGGAGACTCGCAAAAATACCGGGAGACTTGGGATGTCTGGAATGACTTCCCGCCCTACTCATAATTCCCTCTTCATACAGCTGTATGCCTATTACATATCCATAATACACTGTGATGTAACCGCGCTCGGATCGTATCGCTTTCTCACTACAATCGATCCGCTCCAGGGTTCGTTTCAATTAAGCAGTGACCACCTCATTCAAGTGATCTCGGAGGGATCGTTTTGGCACGGATCCGATCGCGTTTGATGGATTCACATATGCCAAACGCACTGCGCTAACTGGGCAAACGAGACATGTTCCGAAATAAAAGTTTAGGTGTGAAAGCACCCTAAGAGTTAGATTTAAGACTTTTTAGGACATTTTTATACCACAAAGGAATAAATGTAAAACCTAATTAATAGTACTGAATTTGAACAAAAAAAAAAAATTTCAGTTTGGCTTTGTATTTTAATATTGGCAGTCTTGACGTGGAAATGCAGTAAAAATGAAATGTTAAATTGGCAACTTCATTTTAATTATCAATTTGACAGGGACGATGTGTTGTCAAAGTGAAAATGAAAATTAAATAATTTAATTTTGTTTTCAATTTTGGCAAATATTTTGCAAACAGTGTTTTAAAATGAAATTGTTCATCTGATTTTCATTTTCATTTCCAATGTTTATTTGATTTGTTTAAAATTGGCAGGATTTACCTTCCATATCTCAGTAGCCATATCTGTACAATATAAAGGTACTGCAAACATGTCACATTATAAGGAAAAATGCTGTCTGCCATTAGAGTAAGAGAAATTAGAGAAATCTGCCGCACTGCGCTAACTGGGCAAACGAGACATGTTCCGAAATAAAAGTTTAGGTGTGAAAGCACCCTAAGAGTTAGATTTAAGACTTTTTAGGACATTTTTTATACCACAAAGGAATAAATGTAAAACCTAATTTATAGTACTGAATTTGAACAAAAAAAAAAACATGCAGCATTAATTACCATCCTTAACACCATTTATTGCATATAGAAAAAGTGGAAAATATTTGAACTGATTAATAATTACTACTAATAACAATGGGGATGGAGCAAAACTCTGTGGTAAACTCCCAGCGAGCAATATCGCATATTGCTTAATTTCATTATTCTATCATAGCAAATTTATGGTAAGAGGGGCGTGGTTAAGAATATTATGGCTGATCGCCACTTCAAACTAAGAAGCAAATGCTCAGACTTTGATTGAAGTTTAACAAAACAAAACAAAAAAAAAAAAATCAATGGATTAACTTGCCCAGAATAAATGTTCACCTAAAGAACAACAATGCGCCCTTTCAAAATAAAGACTGTAAATGTCAAGCAAATGAGCTTTAACTGATTTTAAAGCATCGTGACAGTCCCAAAAGAGTCAGAATATTCACCTTGTCGAGTTCACTGGACAGTTTCTTGTTTTCTTCAGACAGCAGCACTCGCTCAAACTCAAGCTCGTCTCGTTCGCTATGACTGTGAGGGTGAAATGATTGATTGAACATCAGGGTTAGCGCATTCGGCATCCAATACACAGAGCAAACAGACTAACACAAGCCCTAACAGAGAGCTTATTTTAAAGAGGTTTTTTAACTAAATTTTTTGTTTAGTTAAATTAAATTTTCTAGCCATCTCAACTTCCATCAATCAAACTGAGTAAACACATTAAGTTAAACTATGTATAACTTAAAAAATGTAATTGAAGCTTGATTTACATATTAAAATAAATTAAAGTAACATATAAACATTTGTTGACTTGAATTTTTGCTATTAAACATTTTACAGTGCATTCAACACCACTTTTTATTTTATATTATTTCACAAGTCCACGTACAATGTTAGCCAAGTGCACCACAAATGATTATAATTTAGTTTTACATGACCCTTTGTGACCCTCTGTAGTATTATCAAGTGTTTCACATTCACAGTGTTTCTAGAATAATGAAAATGCGTACCTCTCTCTGCGGGACTTGTCCAGCTTGTCTTTAAGCATCATGATCTCTTTCTTCAAGCTGAGCTGCTGTCCCTCTGACTCTTTCAGTTCCTTCTTCAGGCTCTTCAGTTCATTGGCATGTTGCTGTTCTATGCGGGAAAGCTCTTCTTTGAAGTGCACCGTCTTCTTTTCCAGGTCTGCTCGTAGTTTACTAAGCTCTTGGTTCTGCTCAGACGACCCCGTGCTTGGAGAGCGGCCCACATGCTTCTGCTGCTCGATGACAGACCAAAAAAATTGATCTTCAGAGACTTGCACACGGCTCATTTAAAGTTATGCACAAATAATTTGGACAAATGACTGGTTTGTTAATATAGTTTATCTTTATTTTTCCCATAAAGTAATGTTCTGATTAAATGTAAACAAGCCATGTCCATGTGAACCGGATGTTGCTGACACTTTTGTTTAAGTACGTTGAAACTGAATATTGAGTATAGGGGTAGGTCTTTCACTTTGTGCAAAATTCCCTTATAGGAAACTAACAGTAAAAGGGGTGTGGTTAAAGCCGTCAAACTAGGGTTGCGCGATGTCCACCAATTTGGCATCGTAAGATGTCTAATGTAAAACACTGCAATAGACGACGCCATTGTCATCGTAGGCAGCGGTGAATTAATTATTAATGAATAAATATTTCATAACGAATTAATAATTTGTAGCCTAGCTTTTTGACTACCTGACCCGCATAGTCTTTGTTTTACCCATAACCAAATCATTAATAAATAAAGATAAGTTACACACAAATTACCACCTGTCAATTACTTTTTCCGCGGGACATGGATAGGCAGAGTGATCCGTGTCGTCATAATGGCGTCGATAAATTTGGTTGGGAAAAATGATGCACAACCAACAGTATATGAGGTTTTCACTTAATTTACTAAGTACAAGCATGAAAGCGAAAGATTGAAGCAGTGTATTGATGCTGTGACACGTTACCTGATAGATTCAAAAGACCGAAGAGTCGTTAGATAGAGACAAGATTAATTAAATATTACGTTTAACAACTATAGTGAGAAGCGATCCAGTGGTGCATCCTTGATAAACTGTCTGACGTGCACTGCTCTCTGGGGTTTTGTGCTCAAACCCCCCCATACTGACTGTCTGGAGCTCAGGTATGCGCATATGCAGCACAGCATGCCAGTGTGTGTGTGTGTGGTCAAGTAATGTGCGTTTTTAGCAGTGTAGTAGTTAGAGCTGTGAACCTACACTAGTCTCACGGTTCGGTCCGGTTACGATTATCATGCCATCGATTCGGTTCAATTCGATATCTCGGTGCATCACGGTGCATTGACGATGCTTTCCATACACAGTTTTATATTTTCTTCACAGCAGCAGTTCTTGTATTAAAATGTATGAATATATTTATATTTATATATTATTTGTAATACAATTTTGTCATTTAATACAAACAGTCAGATATACAAACTGTAACTTTAAACAAAACGAGCATTTAGCAAATAATATAAACAAATATAAATATCCAGCTCACTCTCTGATCCTTGTCTAGTTCTCTTACAGCCCTTTGATTGGTCACACCCTCAAAAAAAACGGTTGCGATTGGCTCTTGCGCGCTGCGCTCTTCAGATAAGTGACACTGATGAGCGGCAGGCGGCAGCGGTGATCTCACAGCTGATGTATGATAGACACGCTGGAGAAAACTCTGCAGACACGCGCTCGTTTCTGTATCTAAACGTAATGCTGTAAAACAGCCGAGAGGAGAAGAAAAGCCACCTCAGCAGGTCAAATGGGCCACTGGGTGTGTGTGTGTGTGTGAGAGAGAAAGAGAGAGAGACAGAGACAGAGCGAAAGCGAGAGAGAGAGAAAGAAATGGAGTAGGCTACTTTCATTCTCTCGATCTCAGTGAAATAGGGGCTATTGTTGTATATGTCAGTGAAAGACTGGTCCAGCAAACACACACAGTGAAATTGTGCACAGTTTATGAGTTTTAAGTAGTTAAAGCGATGTAAATACTCGCGATCGCCTCCCTCGCGACAGAGCGCATATGAGGTAAATGACGTCAGTAATAACCGGTTATGATTATTACTGAACCGATACCGAATTGTCCGCGTCTGCATCGCGATGCACCGAAGAAACGATTAATTTTGACACCCCTAGTAGTAGTGTGGACGTGGATCGCGCCACTTTGCCAGTGTGGACGTGGATCATTTTCGTTGTAAAATGTCATTTTAAAACTAAGACGAATTAGTGTAAATGGGGCCTAAGTGTGTATTTTTCCCGAGCGGGTTCTTGCTGCGACAGGGACGGGGCGGAGGATCTCGATGTCGGCTTAGCATAGTGACATCTATCGGCCATTGCGATGGATGATGGCATCATCTACTGACCCAACCCCATGTCAAACTGACATCATTAGAGAAGGATCATCTCTCCAAATAAGCAATAGGCATCGATACAATGATCTATGCTAAGCTGAGCTAAAATGCTCCTGCCAGACTCTGAGATTGGCTGATAATAAGCCAAAAAAAACTCAAAAAAAAGGTTCCTTTTAGGGGTTGCATTGCATCTAAGACCTCTTTTACAGCAGCAAATTCACTTCAAGTCGAGTTTTACACTTTATTTTGAGAGAAGAAGCGTTTATGTGCACAAACCTTGATGCTGTCCAGCTCTTCTTCCAGCTGTCTGCTGAACTGCTCGCTGCGCTCCCTCAACTTCTTCTCTTTCTGAGCCTCAGCAGACCACTCTTCAGCCTGGACCTCCATCTACACACACACAGTTTACACATGTTTAATGTACAGCTGAAGTCAGAATTATTAGCCCTCCTGAATTATTAGACCCCCCCGTATATTTTTCCCTAATTCCTGTTTAACGTAGAGAAGATTTTTTCAACACATTTCCAATGATAATAGTTTTAATAACTCATTTCTAATAACTGATATATTTTATTTTTGCCATGAGCTGAATAAGAGAAAACATCCCTGCTTTAAACCAACCTCTTTCTTGGCTCTCTCTGCTTTGCGCACATCCAGCCGAAGCGCCTCCACCTTCTGATTGAGTGAATCCAGCTCCTCCTCTTTGTCCCGTAGCTGTCGGGTCAGACGCTGTTTGAGTGACCTCAGCTCCGTCACTTTCTCGCTCACCTCCGCAAACTCCTGCATGGCCATTTTCCTCTGACTGTCGGCCTCCTTCAGCTCCTTCCCCTGAACTTTCTGCTTGTCTGAGGACTCCTGCAGACGCTGGTGGAAAAAAAAAATACAAAAGTTGAGACAAATGACGATTAAAACTGTATATTTATAATAATTGAGACACATTTGTTCATTTAAAAATTATGATATTATTATTTAGAATTAAAACTAGTTTAATTGCGCTAAGTGTGTATTTTTCACGAGCGGGTTTGCGATGGGGGCGGGGTGGAGCATCGGCGATGCCGGCTCAGCTGTCTGTTGTTGTCTATTGGCCATCGGCAATGAACGATAGCATCGTCTATTGGCCCAACCCTAATTGAAAGTCTGTTTACGTCCACCATAATGACTGTACAATATTTAACATTAACAGTAATTTAACAGTAGACCCCCACATAGGCCTAATATTAATATCGTTATACCATATCGTCACTATAGAATTATAAGGTTCTATCTGACATTTTTGTCAAAATTGAGCTATTGACATATTCTTATTAAATGACAACTTATTGTTTACATTAAGACTTTTTAAAAAAAAAAAAAACTTTGAAGCTCAATATATCAAAATCATTCAGAACGCAGATAGAACCTTATAATTCCAAGGTATAAGAAAAACAGTAATAGTAGCCTACTCATATTAACCTTTATTTTACATCTACAGAATCGTGAGAAAAAATCATGATCTTGATTTTAAGCTAAAACAATCGTGATTCACATTTTAGCCAGAATCGTGCAGCCCTAACATCCATACACTCTTGTATTCACACACACACACATACACTACGGCCGATTTAGTTTATTCAATTCACCTATAGCGCATGTCTTTGGACTTTGTGAGGAAGCCGGAGCACCCGGAGAAAACCCACACCAACACAGGGAGAACATGCAAACTCCACACAGAAATGCCAACTGACCCTGCTGGTACTCGAACCAGCGACCTTCTTGCGGTGTTTATGCATTTTAACTTTTTTATTATTACATTTTAAAATGTTAAATTTGTTATTTCAAATTAATTTTACATCCTTTTATATTCACACTTGATTTATTTTTTTACAATAAGAATAAGGTCAATACAGGTGCTTCACTTTTGAGCAGTACCGTGTATGTGAAGTTACAAATGAATGAGTACCTTCTGCAGGTCATCTCTCTCCTGCTTTGTGCTCTTGAGCTGTTTTTCCAGAGACCGGATCTGTTTGGAGGAGTCCTCCATATCACTGCGTGCAGAAATGGCTTGTTCCAGCTGCTGCTCCACCTGTCCTGTATCTGAAAGAGACCAAAACAAGATCAGATGCAAAGAACGTGAGTGCTAAATAATGGGTATTTACAGCTAAGTTATTAACCCCTCTGGGAAACTTTTCTTCATTTTCAAATAAGTGATGTTTAACAGAGCAATGCAGTTTTCATATACAGGGCTCAAAATTAACTTTTTTACTTGGTAGCACCGGTGCTCCCAACTTCAGATATTTAGGAGCACCAAAAAAATTTTAGGAGCACCAGAAAAAATTTAGGAGCACCCACCAAAAATGAATGAGCACCGCTGCAAATTGTTTTTTAGGGGTTTTATTGTATTTTAAAACAACATCAATAGGACTGACAAAAACCAGAAACAACTATCTAACTAATGCTGCGAAGACATTGATATTTGTGTGCAATAATTCCAAAATGAATGTCTAATAATTAGGCTATAGAATATTAATGATGATGAAAAATGACAATAATTGTAACAATGAATTACATTTCTCATTATGATACTGCCTTGAATGTGCATGAATGTAGGTTATCTGCTATAAAAAGTCTGTTACTTTATGAAAAATAAATGTATCGTTTGCATCAAACAAAAACAAAGCATTGCAGTAAGAAATATTTATTTTGTACTGCTGTTTTTATATGCATGTCAATTTAATAAATAATATTTCTGCTACAAAACAAAAGATTATAATAAATCATTCAATTCAATTATGAAAGCTGAAAAGCAGTCATCAGTAAATAAATAAAAAAAATAATATACACCTCAAAAAAAGAATAGACAAGAGAAAGTAAGTAAAGTCTCACTTTTACTCACTCTTTAAAAGTTTTGGTTTCAGTTTGTGTCAATTTAAAGGTTCAGTCTGAGATGATCTTCATTTTTCTGTGTTAGTGGAAAAGCAGGCAAGTCAGCCGTCCCAATTTATGAGCAGGCAGAGCAGGATTCTTGCGATGACCACCGGCGCAATACCGCTCTCTGTTATGAGCCGCAGTTTTAGCGTAAACTTAGTAAAGGCGAGCTTCTTTGGCGATGATATGTACAGTATTAGATTTGACTTTTAGCGGACATTTGCGCTGAACACGCAGTGAATGCAACACATGGAGATTCGGGCGCCTTCTCCAAGAAGCGCGTACTCGATTGATCTCAGCTGGTGGATCATTATTCACCACGTGACGTGTCATGATCGCTCTCATCTGCGCCTCAACTTTAGGTGGGGTTTGCAAACCTGTGTGCTTTAAGTTTTTACTCTTCAGCCATTTGCATTTCCCCGTGGTCATAAAAGCTCCTTCCCTGTCATCTGACAGCGGAATACCTTGAGTGATTGACAGCTAATATGAACCAATATAGCGGCAGGGAAGAGCGATTCAGCACGTTTTTACAAAAAAATCAAAACAGGTCGCACTACAACCATTATCTGCACTAATGCGCCAAAATATATTATGAGGTCGCATAGATTAATTTTCGGGCGCATATGCGACCAAAACGGTCGCAATTTCGAGCCCTGATATACTATTTTTTCTTCCAGAATAAGTCTATTTTTTATTTGCTTGGAATACAAGTCATTAAATTAATAAAAATATGGTAAATGTTTTGTGATTGGCTACTCAATAAACTCTCTCGGACCTAAGTTCTATTGAACATCTCTGGAGAGATCTGAAAATGGAGGTACACAGTAGCTTCCCATCCAACCCGATAGAACTTAGAAGGTACAAAAGGAATGTGCAAAAATTCCCAAAGACATGTGTGCCAAGCTTGTGGCATTATTTTCAAAAAGACTTGAGGCTGTAATTGCTGCCAAAGTTGTTTAACAGAGCAAAGTTTTCACAGTGTTTGATATAATATCTTTTTTCTTCCAGAATAAGTTAATACATTTTTTATTTGCATGGAATATAGGTCATTAAATTAATGAAAAATATGGTCAATATTTAAAAAAAATTATAATATTTTTTTGATTGGCTACTTAATAAACTCTCCAATGACTTGTCTAAGGCTAATAGCAACAAAAAAAGTCATGTGCTGTCATCATGGCAAAGACAAAACTTAGTTATGTAAACTATCAAGATTAAAAATGTGTTGAAAAAAAATCTGTACATTAAATAGCACTTGCTATTTTATAAAAAATTCAGAGAAGGGCTAATCATTTTGACTTTGTATCAGTTACATTTGAGATATGACAACTATAAACATCAAGGGATAAAACAATCACATAGTTTGTTTAAGTCTGGTCATATGATACCCTACTAACAACACTGTGAGATTACCTGCAATCTGTTTTTTTAGCATTTCTATCTCCTCCTTCAGTCCGCGGATCTCAAACTCTCTGTTGGAGGAAACAGGCCCATCCGAGCTGGAATACTGCAGAGCCTGTACCGCTTTTGTGGACTCTGGGGACCAATAGACATTGCAAGAGTCATCCAGGCAGATCAACACCTTTGTGGGAAAACTTTTTTTTTTTTCAGCGACTCGTGCAAATGTGCAAAAGCTGGTGCAAGGCTCGGTTAAAGTATTAGAGAGATGAAAGAGTGTTTACTACAGGTGGTTTGTCAAGCCCACTCCCCTGTATGAGGCATACTCACACATTAAGACCTTTTTAGAGCACTATGAATTAAATTTCAGATTTATACAGGGAAACGATGTTTTTTCCAATAGTGAAAAGAGTTTATTTGCCCCCCCAATAGTGAAGCGCTATGAATACTTTCTGGATGCACTTTAGGAAAATTAACACTTGTTTAAAATGGTTTAAAACCTACAAGACAATAGTTCAGTGAATTTAAGAATTTTTAAGGCCTAAAATGCTGTTTTTGATATTTAAGATTCAAGGTTTATACACATTTTTACAACCAAAACTCCATGACTTTTTGAGGACTTTCAAGTAAACTTTAATGACCTGGGGCGTCATGCATCAACGCTGCGTACACACAAAAACTTTGCGAACGTCAGGTTTCACGCTCACGTTTGGATTTACTAACGATGAAATGAAAGTGAGAATGTGTGTTAGTCCACGCCAACTTCATGTCTAGCGTACAAGCATTTATTGTGTGTGTTTGTTTTATTTCCACTGGCGACTCCTAGAGGCAATTATGTTAAATCCCACACTACAAAGTATCTTTGAGCCGTGCAATGGTAGCTGGGACGGGATCATCTGCATGTCTAGCAGGTATATAAGGTTTCCATACTATACAGATGATCAGCCAAACATTAAAGCGCAATTTGCAGCGGTCGCCGGTTTTCCCAATGTAATCCGAGCGATCGACTACACGCACATTGCTATAAAGGCGCCATCTGAAGACGAATTTGCATAAGTGAATCAGAAACATTTCCATTCAATAAATGCGCAAATAATATGTGATGCTCAAATGCGCTTAACATATTACACAAAATTATTAATGTTTCCTTCCTTGTGATGAAGAGTAGGCAAAATCTGATATGTAATGGGGAAAAAAGAAAAATTAGAAGAAGTTCATCAAACACTGGATTCGAACTGGGTTCAGGAATGATAGTGTCAAATTATGTTGCCATGCGCTTTATGAGCTACACCACTCACGCTGGTGTAGTCTGCTCAACTGTTACTATATTAGCTGATTCCAACAAGGTGTCCAATGAGACCCCGCTGCGGTACCGCGTCAGCTAAACTTTCCCATTCTATTTTTTTTCTTTTGTTATTAATTCCGGAGGACAAACTTGCACACAACACCGCTTTTCTCCAGTCTACCTCCGATAGGAGCACCTCCAATTCACATTCTGTTCAAAGTTTCTCTTCTTGTTTGCTTTTGCCATTGCTTGTTCGTTTGGTTTTGCCAAAGTAGAGTCATTAGCATATTCATACGGGGGAGGAGGCAGGGAGGGGTTTTGTGCTCGTGCATGTTGCGCTCAGTTTCACGTTCATTCGGATGTACAAAGTGAATATGCGTGGGATTCTGCGTACGCAGTGTTTCATACATCTGAATTTTTTACTGCTTATGCACATTTACAGCTTTGTCCGTACACAATGTTTTAGTATTATTCAACGCAAGTCTTCGTACATGAGGCCCCTGATGTTTCATGTCTTTGTGTATGTGGTACACTGGTATGTGGAGCATGTTTTTAGACAGAATAGAATAGAAGTAAAGACAAGTAACCTATATTCAAGTAAAGAGATATTTGTTAAACTAATTTCCATGACTTTTCCAAAACTTGGAAAAAGCCTGGAAAATGCCATGTCAAAATTCCATAATAGGTTTTCCATGACCGTATGAACCCTGGCCCCTATAATTAAACATTTACCCTGAGAAAAATAATCACATATCAAGGAGTATACTTTTGAGTATATATTTTAAAATGTAAAAAATAAATGCTCCTTTAAATGTGGCCAATATAAATGAACTATTAATTTAATTTACAGAACAGGTGCTTTATCATGATATACAGTTGAAGTCAGAATTATGAGCCCCCTTTGAATTTTTTTTCTTTTATAAATATTTCCCAAATGATGTTTAACAGAGCAAGGAAATTTTCACAGTATGTCTGATAATATTTTTGCTTCCGGAGAAAGTCTTATTTGTTTTATTTCGGCTAGAATAAAAGCAGTTTTTAATTTTTTAAACACCATTTTAAGGTCAAAATTATTAGCCCCTTTAAGCAATTTTTTTTCGATAGTCTACAGAACAAACCATTGTTATATAATAATTAGCCTAATTACCCTAACCTGCCTAGTTACCTATTTAAGTCTTTAAATGTCACTTTAAGCTGTATAGAAGTGTCTTGAAAAATATCTAGTCAAATATTATTTACTGTCATCATGGCAAAGATAAAATGAATCAATTATTAGAAATTAGTTATTCAAACTATTATGATTGAAATGTGTTGAAAAAAAAAAATCTCCTCTCCATTAAACAGAAATTGGGAGAAAAAATAAACAGGGGGGCTAATAATTCTGACTTAAACTGTACATCATTATCAGGATAGGAGATGACTTATATCATGATATGAGATGTAGACACCTTGTAGCTTGCGACCGAGCTCCAGTTTCTCCTGCTCCAGACGGCGAATCCTCCTCTCGTACGCCTCAGTGGCCAGACTGTCCTCCAGGCCGCGCTGAACACAAACATCCATCTGTGCTGGAGCCGCAGACTCACGCAGGCAACCCCGATCAGAGAGTGTACTGGAGGAAAAAAGAAGAGATGAAGAGTGCAGGACAAGATGTGATCAGTTTTAAATAGACAGTTCACCAAAAAATAGAAATTCTGTCATCATTTACTGACATTTCATTTGTTTCAAACATTTAGGAGTGTCCGTTAACATAAAAGAAAATATTTTGAAGGATGATGAAAACCTGTACTATTATTGACTTCCCATGTTATTTGTTTTTAACCATTGACTTTCATAGTAGAAACAGCAAATACTGTGGAAGTCAATGGTTACCGGTTTCAGCAATCTTCAAAATTTCTTCTTTTGTGTTCAGACAGGTTCGAAACAAGTAAAGGTTGAGTAAATGATGACAGGTCTTTCAGTTTTGGGTAAACTATGTTTTTAAGTCATAATTACTGTTGGAATCATGTATACAATTGCTGTGGAAGCATCTGGAGCTGAAATTCAGATATATTAATGAGTGTTCACTATTTTGTCATGTGTGGTCACCAGACCAATCACAACAGACTGGACCGTCTGACCAAGCAGAGCAACATGGGCTCTAATAAAGTGTTGTTTTTTAGGTAGGCTTAACTCTTGAACGTTTCAGACACTGTGAGAAATAAGCTGATGCTTTAATGCACATAGGGCTAGACAATTAATCAAAAATAAATCCAAATTTCTAATCTATAAACAACCCAACAATCCCAAGGTGTCCATATCCGGGACCAGGCCGTATCCTGAGCTGCTGCTGCGCTGTTGGTCATGGGGGAGTGGAGAGCATGAGACTGATTCCAGTGACTCTCCAGGGACAGACGAGTCTTCGCTGAGGCCAGCTTTCAGCCTCCACTGCTGAAGCAGGTCGCACACCAGAAGCGCCGCTCGGCGGCGCGCCGCGCAGCGCCACGCAACACCATGTATTTTACAATTCTAAACAGGTTTCTATCAGGATACACACACTGGCGCCGCATTTCATATTGATTATAACGAGCATGCGTGAGGGTTGATCTGAACCTGCATGGTCACCTCTGGTGGGTTTTACACTTGCATTTTTTATGGGTTTTCAGCTTTATTGGACAGGACAGTAGAGAGAATTGACAGGAAAGTGTGGGGAGCAGAGAGAGGGGAAGGATCGGCGTAGAACATTGAGACAGGAATCGAACTCGGGTCACTGTGAACACCGGAGTGCATGTGTCATGCACTATCCATTACGCTATTGGCACTGACTGGTGGGATTTACATTGATATCTTACCAGTTGCTGGTGTAGGTGAATCCAACAAATGGGAGATGGTGTCCTGAAAAAGCGGTGTGGGAAGGAGGTGGCATCGTCTCCTAAAACAGAGCGCAGGTCATCATTTGCTGCATCTTAGTAAAATGCTTAAGGTGATATAACCTAAAGTAAGCTTTAAAGGGATAGTTCACGCAAAAATGAACATTTGCTCTCACTCAAGTGGTTGTAAACATTTATCCATTTTTTTCTTCTGTTGAACACAAAACAATATTTAAAGATTGCTGGAAATTAGCAGCCATTGACATCCATAGTAGAAAAAAAATCAACAGATGTTTTTACAACATTCTTCAGAATTATTGTTCAACAAAGTAAATAATGAGAGAATTTTCATTTTTTGTGTGAACCATCTCTTTAAACTGAGAAATATCCGATTCATTACATTTCATTAAAAACATGAGTGCAAAGTTTTTTACCGTGTTCTTGAGGCAGTCGTCGTCCACGTCAAAGTTTGATGTGTCAGACGGGCTGCTGACTTCAGGGATGTAGGGGGCGTCACAGTTGCGGATGTTCTGCCAGTCAATGCCAGAGAAGAAGGGGTGTTGTTTGAAGTCCTCGATGCCGTTCTGCCCTAGCCTGTGCTCTCTGCAGCAGATGAGTCTGCGGATCAGATCTTTGGCATTTTCAGACACGTCCGTCATTTGAGCAGGAAACTGGAACCGTTCCTGTGGGAACACAGAGCACAAACACAAAACCACAACATTGGTAGGCTTTCATGACACTATTTGATTCTTTTAAATGTAATGTAATATAATTTAATTTAATTTAAAACAGTATGTAACTCCACAAAAGTAGTCTATACAAACAAAGCATATAAAATTAAATTAAGATTTAATTAAAATTTAATTGAAATTAAATAATAATAAATTGCAATTAAATAAATTAAATAGATGAAAATAAAAATTAATAAAATAAATTAAAAATTATAATTTAAAATAAAATTTAAGAAAAAACGAATTAAAGTAAATTAATTAAAAATAAATAAATAAAATTAATTAATATTTTAATGGACTAAAAGTATAATTACAATTAAATAAATTAACTTAAATTGAATAAAAAATTGAATTAACTAAAATAAAAAATGAATTAAAATACAAATAAAATTAAATTCATATTAAATTCAAATTAAATCATTTAAATTAAATTACAATAATGTTTTAATTAAATTTAAATAAATAGAATAAAATTAAATAAAATTAAAAAAATTTAATTAAATTGATTTATTAAAATGAGAATCAAATTAAATAAAATGAAAAATAAATAAATAAATAAAATTAAATTTTAAAAATAAATTTTAAATTAAATAAAATATGATTTTTTTTTCTTTTTGTTATAATTCATTTGTAAGTTACTTTGGATTTAAGTATCTGCTGAATTAATAAATAAGTAATGTAATTAAAGTAATATAAGTTTACGTAATACAGATAAATATGATCAAAGAATCTAAAAAAATAACATGAAAAAAGCTGATAGGACTGATATATATATACCTTGTGGTTCATAATCTTGCCATAGGTTTCCACCAGGGACTCAGCATAGAAAGGAGTTTCCCCATAGAGCATTTCATACATGCAAACACCCAGTGACCACCAGTCACATTCAGGGCCATATTTCCCTTTCCCATCCTCCATGGCCTGCAGGATCTCAGGAGAGATGTAGTCTGGCGTGCCCACAGCAACAGACGACTGCACCTGTGACCACAGAAAATCAGTTTGAGGACAAGCTAAAAGGTTTCAGAGAAGGAAAAGTTACATTTCAAACACTAAAATTCATGTATAGTGAGCTCTAACTGTATTATTTCAACTTATATTTTCAGCAGTAGGGCATATGCTCTTAATTAAAGGGAAAGTTCACCTAAAAATGAAAATGTACAAACTATTTACTCTCCCTAAGTGGTTCCAATCCTTTAAGTGTTTCTTTCTTCTGTTGAACACAAAAGAATATATTTTGAAGAAAGCTGAAAACCTCTAACAATTGGCTTCACTGGTATTTATTTTTGTATGGATGTCAATGGTTACCAGCTTTCAGCTTTACATCTATAATATCTTATTTCGTTCAACAGTAGAAAGAATCTCATGAAGGTTAAGGGTAAGTACGTCTTAATTTTTTTATAAACTTTCGAAAGACACTTTTGAGCCAAGTTTTAAGCCAATCGAAGCGTTTCCCATGATGCACTTTTTAGTAATTCTTCATGTATATATTATTTTGCTTATTCTTTTCAGATCGAAAGTTTTTTAAATGACTGTATATCAATTTCACCCTGTTGCCAATTCCTGATATGATATTAGCTTTTACCAGCAATGCTTGATGAAAGCTTAATTTTACAAAAAACTAAATAAATAAAGTTGAAACCTGTCAACAATATTTACAAGTCACAATGCACCAAAATATCTTAATTAATTAATATTTCCCAAAGATATTTACAAAATAAGAGAGTATAAAGATTTTTAAAAAATACACATTTTCATTAGAGTCTATTATTTCTTTTTTTAGTTTTTCTTTTTTAATGAATAAATGAGCAATATCACACGAGTAGTAGTGCGATATGGCTGTATAGTGACGATATACAGCCATATCATACTGATACGTGTGTGATATTGCATTTATACAACAGTTTGACGCCATAACTTTGTGTATAAAAAAGAAAATCAAACACGAGAGTCTCAAAAATCTTTTTGTACGAGGAACTACTTTTTTTCTGCCATTTATTCACATCTGCAGCTGACATCAGAACAGCAGAAACCATTACTAATTGACCAATGTCGCTTTAGAGCCAGTATTTGAATGATTCTCTAGTGTAATATAGTATAATATGGTATAAAGTAGGGATGGGTATCAACGGTATCAACGGTTATACTACTTTTACCAATCAGTACATTTTGTAGTGTTTTTTTTTATGAAAAAAAAAGTAACAAAATTGCCAACACTTTATTTATTATTGTGTTTTAAATGTAAAACCAAAACCAATAATTGTAAAACAAATAAATAAAAAAATTCCTGCAAAAGAATGTACAATGGTTTGAAGGAAACTGACTCTCAGTTTTTAATCATTAATCTTAAAAAAAAAAATCAACATGTTTGACTTTGACAGAAGTCAGGATTTTTCTTGGTTTCTTGTGCTCCCTGCAGTTGAAAAATACACTCTTTTAGTTGCAAAATGCAGTTAAATAATGAAATGTTTATGATTTTTCATTAACGTATTCACACAAATGAGTTAACAGTGTTTTGGGAGTTAACAACTTAAAAATAAGCATTTTTTAAATAATTTCTTAATAAGTATAGCTTATTATTAGGCTATATTTGTAAATACAGCTGATGTAAAAGCATTTTTGCTGTTCAAGATTTATTTAGGCTACTGCAGAAAAAAATACTGTTTTCATTGTAACGTAAAGAGAGACCTTATGTGATTGACTGCGAGCATAATGATGTGGATGATGTACCTTTCGCTAGTCAGTCGAAAACCTTTCATTTGTCTTTCTGCAGCTAATGCACTTTTAAAAGATGCTTAGCCAGATTGCTTGCTTTTCTGCTTATACAAGAAAACAACTTGTTGCTTTTGTTGCAATCGGCATTGTCGCTGTCCACTTGGGAAATACAACTCGTTTGGTTTACTCCGCAAGCTTACGAGATGTGTGAGCGTGAGTCTGTGTAGCGAGCTATGTGTGTGCACTTAGCGCGAGCCTCAACTGAGCGTGTGCACAGAAGAGAACCGTGAAGGCTTTTATACTTGACATGCTCGCCGTTGTACTATTGGGCGAAAACAAGCATTTCTCATGTGAGATAAGCAACTGTGCAGACGAAAAGCTTGGTCAGTTAAATTATGCTAATGTAAGTAATGTTTATTCAGCAATAATTCTCCAGTACGGATAGCAGAACTGTTGACGTCAGAGCTTATCGATACTTGGTCTTTTATAATTTAGCACTGATACCGATAAAGTACAGAGTTTCGGTACCCGTCCCTAGTATAAAGTGATGACAAAACAGGTGATTCTGCTGACATTAAGATTATAGGGCTGAACGGCATGAAAAGCCATCAGTCTACAGAGATTTCCCAGTATTTCTCTGTTGTAATCGGGAGATCACAATAATTAACCCCAAAAAAGCCAAAGCAAAGTAAACACAAGCAGGTAACCATGGTATAAATACAGCACTACAACATACAAAAGAGCAAGATCAACTTACAATGTCGATTTATATTGATTTGATCCGCTGTAGTTTGAAATACGAAAAGAAAAAGCTGAGTTTTTCTCCCCTAAAGACTTATTATGCTGTCTTTGTCACCATCTGGCAGTCAGCCATCACTTTTTTTGAGAAATATTTAAAATAGCCACTATCTTTATAAATAAACTGCATAGCTGCAATGTAAACAAGTACATTCTCGTCTTTAAAAAAGCCTCAGAACTACATTATGTTGTCCAACAGCTGCAATATCTGTCTAACTGTAGTGAGTCAGAGTGCTTTCACACCTGTGAATCAATTCGTTTTGAAATAAGGATTAAACTTGTTACATTGTGGCTCTTTGTTCTTGGTCGCTTTCACACGACAAAGTATTTAAACGGACCAAAATAGCTAAAACAAGTCACTTGCGAGTAAACTCTCCTCACATTGGTCAGAGTTTTATGGATTATTTTGTCCCGTTTAGCTGTCATATGTCCTTATTTTAATTTATGGCGATGAGCAATAAGACATCATAAGCGGAAAGCTGCGCTTTAATTTTAAATGGTGACGCCCACAGACATCGTCACCAGATATAAATCAGAGGTAAGACTCTCTCATACAGAGCCCTTGGCTGAACTGCAGTTCGGTCAATGTTCCTAATGGATAAACAGCTCTCAGTGATAGTTCAGCATGCTTTTACTTTCATACTTAACATGAAATGCACATTTACCGGTAGGAATGACCTCCCGCCCTACTCATAATTTTCTCTTCATATAGCCATATATGCCTCTTACATATCCATAATACACTGTGATGTAGCCGGGCTCAGATTGGTTTGCTTTCTTACTACAATAAATCCGCTTCAGAGTTTGTTTCAATTGAGCCGAGACCACCTCATTCAGGCAATCTCGGACCGATTAATTTGGAGCGGATCCGAGCACGATGGCTGGATTCACATATGCCAAATAAACCGCGCTAACTGGGCAAACGAGAAACAAAAGTCTAGGTGAAAAAGCACTCTTAGTTTAGATCTGCGTGTAACTCTATGTGAGCGGAGTAATACATAAGGGTGAAAAGGCTGTGCGAGTGCTGTTATTGCAGAATATAACAGGGTTATCAGCCAATGAGATTCACGAATCAGATAGAACTGTTGTATAAATAAATTGATGACATTTTCCACAAGTGAATTATAAACCATGTTTCAAGTGTTATAAAACATTTGAAATGTCTGTATGTATCAAGAGTTCTTATAAAACACTATTTTTATTCCATCATTAAATATAGTCTAATATCTTCCAGATAGTTGTCATGGGACTCATCATATTACTGTGTACCATTTCCAATTATGACTGCAGGAGAATTCAGGACAAGGCATGTTGAAAAGAGAAACAGAGAGGGATTCAGTGTCTGAGCTGATCAGATCATATCCTGTCAGTGAGCGAGCTTGCAAAACAAAGCAATCCCTAAAAAATGCATCTCTTTTTGGCATAACACTCATCACCATAAAATGCAAATGAACTCAAGCCATCACATTGGTTGCAGCCAGCAGGGAGGGCGTGGCCTAGAAAAACGGTCAGAGAAGTAAAAAAAAAAAAAAAAAAAGCCTCACAGAGCACAGAAGGCACCGAAAGAGAGAAAAAGAGAGACAGAGATATCACTAGAGACCACTAATGAACCGGGGGATGATTGCAGCTTCCTGGCCCAGGTTCAATGCGGCAGAGTGGGCCGGAAACCGTCTGTAATGCAGCCTGTGGCAGATGTGTGCAGCTGGAAGAATTTGTGGAAGTGAGGCAGTAAATTAGCTGCTCTCTCTGGCAGTGACACACACTTGAAAACACACGGACATGTGAAGAGAGTTAGGCACACACGTGTGAACACGCACAGACCACACTCACTCTGCTCTTGTCAGAAGTCGGGGGGAAATCCTGCCGAGCTGTCTGCGACGTGCCAGAAAACAGCAGCACAGATCAGATCCAGTCAAATACTCACCCCTGCTTCAAAGACGCTTGACTGAAATACAACTCTCTTCATAAACTGCCTATCAAACCCGGGGTGTCCTCTGGGTCTCCCATTATTTTAGATTAAAACAGTGTGCCTACAGGATACAGCTGGAGCCTGATTTCTTTTTCCAAGCACAAATGTAACACTTGGTGAAAGATCAGGTGTCAGGAGACTTAAAGGACACCTATCATGCAAAATCAACCTTTGAAAGCTGTCTATGTGTGTAGGTATAGTCATATTGGAGTGATATAAACACAACAAGTCTCTTTTTAAATTTCCTAACGTTAAAATTGGATACAAATACCAGTCATTTTGAGGCCCACCTCAACGGTTTTCCCACCTACTGATATTGACTGACGGGCCCATATCATTATATCTCAGTAATAACGCATATACATATGTCCACAGGACAGGATTTGCAAAGAAACTGTGATGAAAACTCTCTGTGATCCAACTGAACTTCAAGAAGCATTAAGTGCTACTTCTTGTATGTTTATTAATAGCATTTTATAAATGAACTCACCGGCTACTTTATTAGGTACACTTTACTAGTACCGGGTTGGACCCCCTTTTGCCTTCAGAACAGCCTTAACGCTTCGTGGCATAGATTCAACAAGGAACTGGAAAAATTCTTCAGAGATGTGAATTTACCATTCCACCACATCCCAAAGGTGCTCTATTGGATTGAGTACTGGTGACTGTGGAGGCCATTTGAGTACAGTGAACTCATTGTCATGTTCAAGAAACCAGTCTGAGATGATTTGCGGTTTATGAAATGGCGGGTTTTCCTGCTGGAAGTAGCCATCAGAAGATGGGCACACTGTGGTCATAAAGGGATGGACATGGTCAGCCACAGTACTCAGGTAGGCTGTGGCGTTGACACGATGCTCAATTGGTACTAATGGGCCCAAAGTGTGCCAAGAAAATATCCCCCACACCATTACACCATGACCAGCAGCCTGAACCGTTGTTACAAGGCAGGATTGATCCATGCTTTCCTGCTGTTGATGCCAAATTCTGACTCTAGCATTAAAATGTTGCAGCAGAAATCGAGACTCATCAGACCAGGCAATATTTTTTAATCTTCTATTCTCCAGTTTTTGTGAGCCTGAGTGAATTGTAGCCTCAGTTTCCTGTTCTTAGCTGACAGGAGTGGCACCCGGTGTGGTCTTCTGCTGCTGTAGCCCATCCGCCTCAAGGTTGGACTTGTTGTGTGTTCAGAGATGCTCTTCTGCAGACCTTGGTTGTAACGAGTGGTTATTTGAGTTACTGTTGCCTTACTATCAGCTGGAACCAGTCTGGCCATTCTCATCTGACCTCTGGCATCAACAAGGCATTTGCACACACAAAACTGCTGCTCACTGGATATTTTCTCTTTTTTAAACCATTGTCTGTAAACCCTAGAGATGTTTGTGCGTGAAAATCCCAGTAGATCAGCAGTTTCTGAAATTCTCAGACCAGTTTGTTTGACACCAACAACCATGCTACGTTCAAAGTCACTTTAATCACCTTTCTTCCCCATTCTGATGCTCGGTTTGAACTGCAGCAGATCATCTTGACCATGTCTACATGACTAAATGCATTGAGTTCTTGCCATGTGATTAAAAATTTGCGTTAAGAAGCAGTTGGACAGGTGTACCTAATAAAGTGGCCGGTGAGTGTTTACTTTTTAAGCAACACAATCCATAACTCCAGTTGCAAAGTATAAATATGCACACACAAAGTGCTATGGCAAACAAAAAGATGCAAGTGTTTGACATAGCGCCATGTATGTGCATTAGTTACATGTGAAATAAAAATATAATTATTTGTGCAATACATGCCAAAAAAAACATTTATTACAAAAATGATAATGTGTTATCAACCACTAGCGAGTAATTTGCAATAGGTATTTATACATATCTGTTAATATTAGTTGTTGTAGAATCTAAATAGTTATCAAATATTTGGTATTTTCCAAGGTATCATATCAAAGTTGAAAATTCCAGCTTTGTGACGCTACTAGTGCAGATGTTTGGCTTTGCCAAGATATGCATCAATACTCCAGTCTATAATAAAAATCTTTCTATTAATCCGATACTGCTGCTCAAAAACAATTTTATTTTGATTAATTCTGAAAACAGTTTCGCTGCTTCATTTTAGAAACTGATCTTATATTCAGTGTTTTTATGAAAAGAACAACATTTGTTTAAAATGATAAACTTTTGTAAACTTTTTAATATCTTAACCCTCACATGTGATTACATTTAAGGCATCTTTCTGATTAAAATGATCCATTTCTTTAGATAAAAGGGACAATTTTAAATAAATCAATTGCTAACTTGCTGCCAAACTTTTAAATAGCAGTAAACCAGAGCCAAAGATTGTTTGGACAGGAAGCAAACTAAAATATGGGAACAACCAGAACTGAAACTGAGCTTAAAAAAGATTTGTACACTTACATCACACTTAAGAAATCTTTAATGAATGTCACTGCATACTATAGTCTAAATGCTTTTCCATCATCAGTTTTATCCATGGTAACTTAAAAAAATAAATGAAAATAAAACAAATAAAGAACAAATATTACTTCAATAACTGATCTCTTCAGCTGCCTTGGAAGCAAAACATATTTTAAAACAGTGACCAAAAATGATTTACGTTCACAAATATGGCTGATGTTTTTGATTTTGAATGAACAACTTTCAAGCCAAGTTGCAAGATTTGTCATTACAGCATTGCGAGGACACCCAGTTAACACTAAACTGCACTAAAACTCATTATGAGCTCTATATAATAATCTAGATGACTGTGCATACGTTTTATTAAATACAAACATTTACAGTGCATCCGGAAATATTCATGCTTCACTTTTTACACATCTTTTGATGTTACAGCCTTATTCCAAAATGGATTAAATTCATTTATTTCCTCAAAATTCTAAACACAATACCAAATAATGACAATTTGAAAAAAAGAGTTTTTGACTCTCTTGCTCAATACTTTGTTGATGCACCTTTGGTAGCAAGTACAGCCTCAAGTTTTTTTGAATATGATGCCACAAGGTTGGCACACCTGTCTTTGGGAATTTTTGCCCATTCCTCTTTGCTGTCCCTCTCAAGCTCTATCAGGTTGGATGAGAAGCGACGGTGTTCAGCCATTTTCAGATCTCTCCAGAGATGTTCAATAGGATTTAGGTTTGGGCTTTGGCTGGGCCACTCAAGGTCATTCACCGAGTTGTTGTGAAGCCACTACATTGATATTTTGCTGGTGTGCTTTGGGTCATTGTCCTGCTGGAAGATGAGCCGTCGCCCCAGTCTGAGGTCAAGAGCACTGTGAAGCAGGTTTTCATTCAGGATGTCTCTGTACATTGCTGCATTCATCTTTCCCTCTATCCTGACTAGTCCTCCAGTTCATGCTGCTAAAAACCTACCCACAGCATGATGCTGCCACCACCATGCTTCACTGTAGGGATGGTATTAGCCTGGTGATGAGCGGTGCCTGGTTTTCTCCAATAGGAACGCCTGGCATTCACTCCATTGAGTTCAATTTTAGTCTCATCAGACCAGAGGATTTAGTTTCTTATGGTCTGAGAGTCCTTGAGATGCCTTTTGGCTAATTCCAGGCGAGGAGTGGCTTCCGTCTGGCCACTCTAACGTACAGGCCTGATTGGTGGATTGCTGCACAGATGGTTGCCCTTCTGTAAGGTTCTCCACCCTTTACAGAAGAACGGCGGAGCTTAGGGAGGTGATCAATAACCCGATGGTGGCTCTGACTAGAGCCCTCCTCCCCCGATCACTCAGCTTAGATAGCCGGCCAGCTCTAGGAAGAGTCCTGGTGGTTCCAAACATCTTCCACTTACAGATGATGGAGGCCACTTTGCTCATCGGAACTTTCAGAGCAGCAGAAATTTTTTCTGTAATTTTCCCCATCCTTGTGCCTGGAGACAATCCTGTCTCTGAGGTCTATAGACAATTCCTTTGTCTTCATAATTGGTTTGTATTTTGACATGCACTGTCAACCCTGGGACCTTATAAAGACAGGTGTTTGCCTTTTCAAATCATGTCCAATCAACTGAATTGACCAAAGGTGAACTCCAATTAAGCTGCTGAAACATCTCAAGAATGATCAGAGGAAACAGAATGTACCTGAGGTCAAATTGGAGCTTCACGGCAAAGGCTGTGAATACTGATGTACATGTGATTATTCAGGTTTATTTTTAACAAATTTGCAACAATTTCAATACATCGTTTTGTGTGTACCATCTTAAGGAAATAAATAAATTTAATCCATTTTGAAATAAGGCTGTAACATAAAAAATGTGGAAAAATATATGAATACTTTCCAGATGCACTTTATGTATGCAAAATCGCTTATATTTAAAAATACTAACCGTTCCATCCTCCGTGAGTTTCAGACAGGAGCCGAAATCTGCGAGTCGAATATGTCCGTTCACATCTATGAGGATGTTATCTGGCTTAATGTCTCTGTCAGAGAGAAAACAGAAAGAAAACATTGTTACAAAAACAATTAAAGATGTCACGTTACATGATGGTATGGAAGAAGTTGCTAAAAGGCAGGTTTAAAGCTACCAAGATTATGAATCCGAAATCCAGAGAACACATATAGTACAATGCAGACTTTCATGATAACAACGAAATGAACACGAGAGGAATGAGAGAACTGAGAAAACAGCAGTTAAGAAAGCTCTCCAACAGACACATGCAGGGGGGGGGGCTTTGGGTGCTTGCGCACATGCCCTTTAGTGCATAAATAATGTAAATCCAGCAAGCTAGTATGCATAGGATATGAAGAGTTGGAGAGAAAGCCAAAAATTGTGAATTAGAAAGAACAATATGGAATCTTTCCCAGAAAACTACTTCCAAAAAAATTCAAGCACTCTCAAGGAGCATGTTGTCCAAATTTTCAAGGATTTCAAGCACCCGTGGGAAACCTGATACGTTCATCCCCCACCTTCCAAAGCTTTGAATATTCAATGTTAATTACTAGCAAGAGTCGAAGCTCAAAAATAAATGGTGCTCAGACCAGCCCTACAAACCAGTTCTTTCTTTGCTTCCGCCTCTAGTATACTGGGCCCTTTACTGCTTTATTTTACAATCCTAGAGCCACCTTAAGTACAGTGCGCACTTAAGACAGCTTCCTAATGAGACAGAGCAGTAATTCACAACGGGTTACACAGCAGAGTCTTGTGTTCGCTCTGTAAATCACCTTTACTCCTGAGGGAGCCACATAGGAAACAGCTCTGAGACACAGAACGTCTCAATCCACTCCACTTTTCCCGTCTCTTATGAGAGGAAGTCCAAACAAACAGAGGTCAGAGAAGTGAACCTGTCAGGATTAGTCTTAATGGGGTACGAGAGGTGTTCTCTGCCCTGTCTCTGACCTGCCCGCGGGCCACTAGAAGCACAAACAAACAGGTTTCAAAGTGTGGCGGGTTCACGTCTCCATTACAGCTTATCTAAACCTGTGTGTCGGAGAACACGCTCCAGGCCAGAGCGAGACACACACTGTTCTTATTTTTCCTCCACGCTCTCGCTCTTGTTCGCTCCTCGTAAATATGATCCTGGAGGTTGACGTGGAGCAGTAATAAAGACGGATTGAATGCTTGCATGTGCCTTGTATAGACATGAGTTACGACAGCGCTCGTGAGGTGGCTTTTTCTTCAATATCTCACCCAAACAGCTCTCTGAGACCTATAGATATATTCTATTACCTGCCAGCTTTTTAAATTGCTTTACAATGGATTTTTTTCTTCTTCGATTTATAATAGAAACACAACTGCACTAAGAGCTGAATGGAAACTGATATGGAGATATGGGGGACATTTAAGAATAAAGAGGTCAAATTCAGTTTTTTTTTTTCATGTTTCTTTTTTGTTCCTTAAGTTTAAAGGTGCAGTATGTAAGTTTGACATCCAATGGTTGAATTAGGTATTGCATTCCTGGATCAAAACAAATGCAAGTGCAGGTTCACAGATTGGGGACCAACAAGCAAATCTGACAACCGAGGATAAAGGCTGATTTAAGGCTGATTTAAATCGTGCTCTATATAAAAGCAAGGGCACTCGATAGAAGGAATATTCTCCATATTAAAGGAGTGTTTGTTCTGACCAACTCCTCAAATTGATATGTTAGAAACGACTTCTATTTTTTGCAGCTGAACAACAGAAAACACAATGATCACCTCAGGTACACCTCATGTCCTTTATTCGGTGTTAAATGCTAATAATGTGAGTTTAAATGACATTTTACAGGACATATATTGCCATACTACTGAAAGCAGCAGCAGATAGTTCACCTCAGATCTTAAAAATAAAATAAACTGTTTATAAACAGAGCTGTGATTCAAAACCAACACATATCAGTGATTTAGCATCTACATGTCATCATGTTAAAGAGTGGTAATATGTATTAATTAGATTATAAACCTTACAGTTTTGTGAGTAAGAGCATATTCTGTGTTTCTGAATGGCTGGATTTAAATTTCTGTTGTGTTTCCTTTGTTGCAAACAGCCAAATTGCGTATCACTACAAATCTCGTCACGTAGTATGTTGTTAAAACACGGGGTTACAATGTAACCTGCTCACCTAATGTTTACGTTCATAATATTTATATTATTTGATAATTAATAACCTCATGTAGAACTCTGAATCTGCGTCCCATTTTAAAGTCTACTACTGGTCGGAGCCAGTAGCCTAGTCATACTGTGCGCTGACATATAGCACCAACGTGCCCATGACGACCCAAGTTCGATTCCCGGCTCGAGGTCCTTTGCTGATCCTTCCCCTCTCTCTGCTCCCATTGCTTTCCTGTCTGAATTCTCTACTGACCTGTCATAATAAAGGTGAAAAACCCCTTTAAAAAAAAAAAATAAAATAATTACAAAGTCTGCTACTGTTCACGGGAGGTCGCATTTCGGTCACGGCGCATACTTTGAGAAACTTCATGAATGATTGAATGAAATACGCGTTTTTCCAGCAACCTGTGGTGCTGAAATATAATTGGCTAAAGTGGCAGTAGGCGGGTTTAAAGAACCAAAACAATGACAGCGCTTCGGCACGTAACTCACTTTTTCAAAGCAGAATATCTGACTTTAGCATTGTTTTTTAGATAAATAAGAATGTTTACTTGGCATGTTTCTTAAATATCTGCAAACATATTATGGTATTTATATGCTTTAGAAGAGTCAAAAATGTACATACAGCACCTTTAATAAGTCTGGATATTAACTGAAATATACACCAAACAGTGAATGTGAAACATGAAAGCACATGGTTCCAGGTTAAGACAACAGAAATACTACTTAACTTGGATATTTAAATTTAAACGGGATGTTTTATGGACAGTCTCTAATAAAATGTTATGATATACAAATGTCATACACCACCTTTCATATGAATGAGAGTCCGTAATTAATTCCTTTTCCTTCAATTATGCTGTACCACATGTCTTTGGACTGTGGGGAAAACCGGAGCACCCGGAGGAAACCCACGCCAACACTGGGAGAACATGCAAACTCTACACAGAAACACCAACTAAGTCAGTCGGGACTCGAACCAGCGACCTTCTTGCTGCAAGACGACAGTGCTAACCACTGAGCCACCAATAACAACCTCAAATTGTCTCATTGCTGAAGTTTACTTTCTATAAAAGTAGTGTGAACCCAGGTCACGAACTATGGCGTATTTCAAATCAAAAAGCAACATTTTCCATGAAACGTCCCCTTCAAAACACTCCTGCTGTGGCTCCATTTGAGAGCCGAGGAATGAAAACAAAGAGTACTTTCGCGGTCTACTACAATTTATAGTCATAACTGGGGACTCTTCCAAAAAGCACGGGAAGCCTGGTGGACGGCCATGGAGACTTCCTCACTCCTCTGCGCACACTAAAAGAGCCTGTACAAGCTGTATGAGTCGGTTCGCTGATTTTATGGTTAATACAGCAGTGGAAACTTAACATTAGTCCCACATGAGAAGAACCTGTGTGGATTTGGCCCTGGTGTGGGTACGGCCACGCCACTGGTTTGGTTTGCCTCATTAGAGGTCATGTTTATTTGCTCCGTCGTCTCTCCGGCTGCTTTCTCTCCATGTTTACACAGAAGCAAAGCTACTGTGAAGAAGAGAACAGGAGGAAGCATTCACATGCAAAACCACACCAACTGATTAACAAGACTCATCTGGTGATCCAGTTCAGCGTCTGTTCTGGGATCAGAGAGAAAACTCTGACCACACTCGCAAAATACAGCTTCAGTTTGGGCAATTAAACAACATTACAACAAATGAAACACATGCGCGCGCATATACAAATAAGAGATGATATTATAAAACCGATCTTCAAAAACTTGTTTCTTTAAAAACACAAAAGAAAAACAAAACAACAACATTATTTGTGCTTAACTTGGTAATAATTCACATACTCTTTACTTTAACGGGCAAGTTGCACTTTCTATTGTTGTTATTATTACTATTATTATAATAATAATAATTATTATTATTATAATTATTATTTCACAACTCCTTATATTGCTGTATTTTTGTTATCACATGTATTTTTTTATGCAGTTGAAGTCAGAATTGTTAGTCCCTCTTTTTTTTTTTTTTTTTTTTTATATTTACCAAATTATGTTTAACAAAGCAAGGACATTTTCACTGTATGTCTAACAATATTTTTTCTTCTGGAGAAAGATTTATTAGTTTTATTTCAGTTAGAATAAAAGCCATTTTAATTTTTTAAATAAACATTTTAAGAACAAAATTATTAGCTCCTTTAGGCTATATGTTTTTTCAATAGTCTACAGAACAAACCATCATTACAATAACTTGCCTAATTACCCTAACCTGCCTAGTTAACCCAACTAACCTAGTTAAGCCTTTAAATGTCACTTTAAGCTGTATACAAATGTTTTGAAAAATATCTAGTCAAATATTATTCACTGTCATCATGGCAAAGATAAATTAAATCAGTTAGAAATGAGTTACTAAAACTATTAAGATTAGAAATGTGTTGAAGAAATCTCTCCGTTAAACAGAAATTGGGGTGGGGGGGAAACAGCGGGGCGAATAATTTAGGGGGGCTAATAATTCTAACTTCATATATATATATATATATATATATATATATATATATATATATATATATAAAGTTAATAGCTAATTCTTAGCCAAATATTTTAAATAATGTGTCAAAAATAACATCTGTAAATCTAAAATTTAAATATTTAAAAAATGTTAAAATATTTAGCAGTAAAATATAGTAGTCTGGAAAATATGCAGGTATTTTAATGCAAAACAGGTGGCTGACTTTGTGCAAGTGACCGCAAACTGCAAAACATCACTTAACTTTTTTCATCGTGTTGTATCCATGTAAATTTCTGTTTCCAAAACGTAATAAAGAGACGTTTTCTTTTAGGGTGCTTTCACACCTGTGAATCGATTCAGTTGTTCCGAAACAGGGATTAAAATTGTTA